TATCTACTTCCCTGCCTCCCTGAAGAGACCCAGGCGTAATTGACCCTCATCTCGAAGACTCAAGGTCGGTAGCAGGAACGTCGGTTCCTCCGTACTTAGCTATAGATGCCGACCCAGGTCCAGCAGAGGTGCAGGGTGGAGAGCTCGACTCGTGCCTGAGGGCACTGCTGAGATGTAGGTGATGGTGTGCAGCTCCCCTCCCCGGCCACCGTGCCAGGCTGCATCCCGTGCCTCAGGGCCATCTCTGCCGAATCCTTCTCCCTCTCCCCTCTCCGCTGTCTGCATTTCTGCCCATCACCGTGGCTTCCTGGGACACTGCAGTCCTCCCCCTCCCATCCTCAGCTCTTCCTTCTCGCTTCTCTCCCTGCACCTTCTTCCACATACTCAGCTCGTCCTGCCACAGCCTGGCCCTTCCATAGATAATCGGAGTTCTGGATTGTTCTTCAGAAAACCAGCCAGTCACATGCACTCTGAAATCCTCTCACTTTTGCTTCTTTGTTGCTGCTCCCAGCCCACCCTGAACTACCCCTAAAGGAGGGGCTCCCTTGGGCAGGGTCTCTGCTGAGTTCCACCGTGGCTGCACTAAGCTGCTTGGATTTGTTCTACAAGGTTGAAGCTGTGCTGTTGGTGAGCTGAGGCCGGGGTGGGCTGGCCAGCTGCCTCAGGTTGGCACCTACTCCTCACTGGTATGACGAGAAGCTATCCTCTCCAGTGCTTGCTTGCCTCCTGCACACTAAGGCAGCCCCATGGGTCCTTCCATCAGCACCCTCTTCCCCTCTCCATGGGGTGGCACCCCAAGCAACCAGCCTGCCTCCATCCTGTGCATGCCTTGGGCAGCATGCCCATGCCCTGTGGACCTTCCCTCAGGGATGCTGGGATGCTACCACCAGGCTGCCTTTCTCCCTAGTTGCTCTCGGGCCTCCCACAGCCTGACTCCCAGCACCTTGGCCTCTCCCCGAGGGAGGATGTGATGGGTGTGCCCACAACAAGTCTCCGGCAGAGACAATAGGACAGGAATGCATTAGCTTCCGAACAAACACTGTGTGGGCTCGCACAATTGCCTTGGATTCTCGTCCAAGAAACACATTTCGCTGTTCGAGGGCGAGGGTGGCTGGCCTGCCCCGGCCCGCCCACACCCCTGTCTGTGCCAGAGACTTTGCTGCTCCTTCTCCCACCCCAGGCCCTTCAACCCCGGGGTGGGCAGCCCTGCCTTCTCCATCCGTCATACCGCTGTTCCTCCGAGGAGTGATAGCAGAGGACAGGGACAGCCATGCCCACCCAGAGCGTGCCTGCTCCTGCCACCACTTTGTCAAACCACTTGTTTATTGTGGTAAAATAGACATAGCATAAAATTGATGGTTTTAGCCATTTCTAAGTCTATGTGACAGGAAGGACATTCGCATTGTTGTGCACCCGCCGCCGCCGCCACCCTTCTCCAGAACTTTCTCACCTTCCCAACCGAACCCCTGCACCCACAAAACAGCAGGTCCCCATCACGTCCCCGCCAGCCCCTCAGCGACTGCCAGTCTACCTTCTGTCTCTGTGAACTTGACTGTCCCAGGCACGTCGTGTCATGGAACAGGATCAGCTCTTCTGTGACCGGCTTGTTTCACGGAGCATCATGTCCTCCGAGTCCATCCATGTTGTAGCATGTGTCCGACTTCCGTCAGGGCCGAGGGACTTTCCCTTGTATGTGGAGACCACATTCAGTTGATCCATCGTCCGCGGACGGACGCTGGCGTTGCTCCCACCTCTTGCCTGTCGTGAACGTGGCTGTGCAGTATCTGAGCGGCCGCTACTCGTGAACCTGCCGTCCAGTTCGTTCAATGAGGCGTCGTCTCCAGGAGGTCCCAGATAGAGCCTCCATGAGCAGGAGAGCCCGTGGGCCCTCCACATGGCACTGGGGCCTTGTCTATGTAAAAACTAGCTGTCCCTTAGGGAAAAGCAGAGCCTGAAGAAACGGAACACGGTTATAACTGCGCGGGGTCCGCTCCGGTGAGAAGGGCGTGTGGGGTGGGGGTTTCGCGCCTCGTGAGCACCAGGGCGGCCCACAGAGGAGCTGCCTCTGGGGTTCGCCCTTCCCCTTGCTGAGTGGTTTCTCCCGCCTCCCGCAGCCTGTTGTTAACAAGCATTTCCAAGTACCTACTGTGCGCCAGGCACTGTTCCCGTGCTGGACAGAGCACTGGACAAAGCCAAAGTGCTGCCCTCGTGGGACTTGCCTTCTAGCCCAGGGAGTTAGACACCAGACCAGCAAGTAGAGGACACGCCAGCTGGGCTGAGGGGTGATATTGGGCAGAGCCCTGGATAAAATGAGGGAAGACGTTCTGAGGACATGTGGGGGCTGGGAATCGCCGGATGGCAAGAACGCGGAGGCCTGGAGTCAGACACGTGCCCATGGACAGAGCGCACACACCCCCGGCCACCAGGCCTCCGCTTTGCTTGCCCACGCCGTCCCCTCCCCTGGACTGTTCCTTGCCCTTCGCCTGCTCATCATTTGAGCAGTTCAAGGCCCACCTCTGCTCATTCGTTTCAAAATGAGTTATTTTCTGTGTGCCTGCTGCAAGCCCAGGTCGCAGCCCAGTTCTGACTGATACAAGGGAAGGAGGTCTGGTCCCTGAGAGCACCTCTCATCAGCGCACCCGGCACTGACCTGTCCGCTGGGCTTCTGCGGGCCGGGTGGCCGGCACGCTCACTGGGCATGGAGCAGGGAGGGTCCTGGATCTCCAGCCCTCCTGCTGGGAGGGCCCCCCGGCCAGGCGGATGGACGCAGCCCGACAAGGGAAGAGGCAGGAGGGTGTGCGGAATTCAGATTTCAGACCCGCGGCGGAGACAGTCCCCCTGGGTTTTGCGGTCTCACTGCTGCGTGAACACGTCCCGTTGGGGTGAGAAACCTTGACTCCAGTTCGCGGTCAGCGGACAAGGATGCTCACCCTAGAAATGCCTTCCTCTTGCGTTCTCCTCACCCTCCGCCCTTCCTTTAAAGCAAAAAACAACACATAGGTCATATCAGCCGACATTCAGGGAGTCCCTGCTGTGCCAGGAGCCGTGCTCGCTGTCGCGGGGCAGCGCAGGTGCACGCGGCGCTGTCCCTGCCCGGAGGAAGCAGGCGGTGCGCACTGGAAGTGTCTCTTCTCTCCTGTAAAATGCGGAGTGGGTGGGAGGAGCTGGAGAGGGCACCCTGGGTGGGAGCCATCTGGAAGCCCCCAAGGAAAGCTGCCAAGCGCTGGGGCCTTGAAGGATGGGAAAGAGCGAGGACCGACATGGAGGGTTCCTGCAGACAGAAGAGTCGCCCGGAGCCGATGGTCCGGATGTGGGGTCATCTGGTGGATGTGAGGATCACTGCGGTGTTGGGGGGGGTGAGGGTAGAACTGAGATGTGTTTAGGGGTTGGGAGAAGAAGCATTAGCCCACAAAAGGAACAGCACGAGAAGTGGTCAACGGGGTTTGGGAAGAACAGGTGGTAGGGCTTCTCCGGCTATGCCTGCAGTTTCTCCTGGGGGCTCAAGAAAAAATGAATTTTAAAAAACAAAGCAGAGTCCCGGCTGGTGTGGCTCAGTGGATTGGGCATGGTCCCATGGACTGAGAGGTTTCTGTTTGACTCCCGGTCAGGGCACACGCCCGGGTTGCGGGCTCGATCCCAGTAAGGAACGTGCAGGAGGCAGCCGATCTATGTTTCTCTCTCACATCAGTGCTTCTATCTCTCTCCCCCTTCCTCTCTCTCTCTAAAAAAAATAAATAAATAAAACATATTTTAAAAATAAAAAACAAAGAAAATAACAAATGTTGGCAAGGATGTGGAAAAACCACAACCCTGAGACATTGCCAGAGGGAATGTAAATGGTGCAGCCACTGTAGGAAACAGTTTGGTCCTCGAAGAGCTAACCATGGCTGTCCCGTGACCCAGCAATTCCACCCGAGGTGGGTGCCCGAGAGAACTGAAAACACGTGCCCACGGATGGTCACAGCAGCACTGTCCATAGCAGCCCCAAAGCTAGGCTAGCACACGTCTAGGCTGATGATGGGTGGACAGAACGTAGTGTACACACACAGCGGAATATTATTCAACTGTGAAAAGGAGCGAGGAACTGACTCCTGCTACGACACAATCAGCTCCAAAAACATTGCGTTAAATAGAAGCCATTCTCCGAAGAGTCCATATTGTATGATCCCATTTATATGAAATGTTCAGCACAGGCAAATCCAGGGAGACAGAGAGATGAGCGGTTGCCAGGGGGTGGGGGGAAGGGAGCTAACTGCTGATGGGTACCGGTTCCTCTGGGGGGAGACAAAGATAGTCTGGAATTAGTGGTGATGGCTGCAGAACCTTATGAATATACTAAAAGTCACTGGCTTGATACTTCAAAATGGTGAATCTGGTGTTAAATGAATTATATCTCAATTTAAAAAGCAAGAGAGACACGGAGAGAATGAGACGAGGCAAGTAGAGGGAAGCCTGGAGGTGGGCGTGGCCAGACCCAGTGCTGGGCAGCCTGGCCATGGCCTGGTGGGGCTGTGGTTCTGCAGACAGCACTTTGATTTCCCGAAATCCCCTTGGAGCCCGCGCCCAGGAGCACCCACGACCACGGCTGAGCCTCCTTTCACCAATCAGGAAGTCTTTGAGCTAATTTCATTTCTCTGAGGATTTTCACTGACCACTTGTGAGCAGCCAATGCACCCAGCATACTTGCTGCTGCCTTCAAACTCACCTGCAGCCTTGGTTCGCCGTGGCCTCTGATCTCAGCCTTCTGAGCTGGCCCGGGCGCCCAGGCTGTGTGCCCGCAGCAGTCTTCCAGGGCTGATCCCATCAGAGAAGTCACGGCTTCCCGGTGCAGTGTGTCTGCTGCCCTCTGGCCCGTGGAGATGCTTGCTCCAGGCCGCATCGGGGCTGGGGTGGGGGACCAGCTTCCGGGGGCTGGGAGCTGGCGCCCTGAGTGGTGACGGCTGGTGCTTGCTTCGGCAGCACACGCACTCAGAGGAGGTGTCTGCCCCTCTCCTCCACAGCTCTTGCAATCTCAGGATGTGAAGGAGGATGCGGTCCTGTGCTGCTCGATGGAGGTAAGCAGTGCGGCTCACGGTCACGGGGCTGGCGGGGAACGGCTTCCGGAGCGCACATGGACTTCTGCATCCAAACTGTCAACCCAAAACCAGAGTGAATGTTGATGGGGGACCTGCCCACCATGGGTTGGAGGAACAGAAAACTGCTGGCTCGCCCTGGCCGGTGTGGCTCAGCGGTTAGAGCATTGGCCTGCGGACCGAAAAGTCATGGGTTCAGTCCACAGCCCTGGTTGGGGTTGTGCGGGAGGCAACCAATAGATGTGTCTCTCTCACATTGATGTTTCTCTCTCTCCCTTCCTCCCACTCTATCTGAAAATCAATGGGAAAATGTCCTCGGAAACACCAAGTACCAGCATTGTCACTTTCCCTCTGTTCCCAATGCCACCTCTCCTTGTGCCAGGCACATGACAGGGGATTCCAGGTGACCCTTTGTCCGCGAATATCTTCCTGGGCTTTGGTACCATGGAGTTTGGGGCCGGTGCCTGAGGCTTGTACCCCTGTTGACGCAGACTCATTCAAAGCAGCCCCCTTGGGAGGTGCCACAGCTGTTCCCAAGGTGTGGCCACTGCCCTTTGAAACTCTTCCTCAGGAATCTTTCTTCGGACACTGGCTCTGGACTAGTCACGGGAACACACCTGTGCCCTTGAAAAACAACCCAGGCCCTGGCCAGTTTGGCTCAGCGGTTAGAGCGTCGACCTGCGGTCCCGAGAGACCCGGGTTCGGTTCCCGCTAAGGGCGCATGCCTCGGTTACGGTTTGTCCCCGGCCCTGGTTGGTCGTGTGGGTGGCAGCCACTCGATGTGTCCCTTTCACATCGATGTTTCTCTCTCTCTCTCTGTTCCTGTCTCTCCCTCCCACTCTACCAGAACAAAAAAGGAAAAATGTCCTCGGGTGAGGATAAAAAAAAAAAGAAAAAGAAAAACAACCCAGAGTCGTTCAGAGTGGAGGGCAGTGAGGGGAGGGGCTTCCAGCCGGCACCCCGGATGTTCTGGCTGTGTGAGCACCTCAGGTGGCTGCCAGGGCCACGCCCAAGGGTCCTGGAGGCCAGACAGCAGCCTTTGGTGTAAGGGACAGTCACTCCTTTCATCTGCTGGACTCCAGCTGGACGCCCTCATGGGGCCTGGGGTCGGGGAGAGAGGGGAGAAAGAAAGCATGTTCCCTGCCCTCAGACAGCTTCCGGTCTGGCTAGGGCTGGATCCGCACGAGCACACGCGCACACGCACATGCACACACGCGCACACACGCACTGCATGGCGCAGTGGAGAGAATAAGTGTGGGTACAGAGCACGCATCCCCGAAGGGTCCAGGGAGAGGTCGGGGTGGGCCCACGAGGTTGAGAAAGGTTTTGTGAAGAAGGTCGAGCCTTGAAAAATGAGTGGGATGAGGCTGGGGTGGGACGGAGGTGGGAACTGAGGGTCTACGGAGAGAACCTGCAGGGGCTACTGGCGAGGAGTGCACAGATCCAGAAGGTGGGCGTTCCGATGAGGGCTTTTCCGGATTATTGGGGGCCTCTCTGGAGGGTAGGCCCTCTGGCTGCCCTTCTGTCCCAGTTCATATTTCTCTTTCCTTCATGTCACAAACGTAGGCAGAGGTCAGCGCAGGGTGGGGAGTGGGATGGGAGGCAGGAGAGAGGAAGAGGGAAATAGGAGACCTCATCCTGCTCTCGGGCTCCACAGACACACACAGGTAATAATGACTAAGCTGTTTCCAGAGAGAGATCCCAGCAGGTGAAAATTAACAGGTGCAGCCTGATCACCTTTGAAGGGAGCAGGTCACACCCATGGAGGGTGTGGGCGGTAGTCAAAGAAGGCTCCCTGTAGGAGGGGACGCTCGTGGGTAAAAGGGAGAGCGCTGTGTTCCTGTGAGGGCTCTTTCAGCCCTGGGCCGTATTCGGATCCCTCTTGTTTCTGCCAGCGGATTGGCTGTTAACTGTGGGCCCTCGTAGCTGGCTGTTTCCGCACGCCCCCTCCCTGTGTCACAGAGGCCTGGGCCTGCACCTTCCGGAGATAATCCAGCTGTTTCTGTCCCTGCGCCCAGCTCACCCAACCAGGGTGGGTCCGGGCACCACGGTGGGTCCCGCGTCCTGTCCTAACCCCCTCTCCGCCCACAGCTGCAGAGCACGGGCCGGCTGCTGGAGGAACAGCTGCCCGAGATGATGACAGAGCTCCTGGCCAGTGCCCGAGACAAGATGCTGTGCCCCTCGGAGTCGATGCTGACCCGGTCGCTGCTCCTGGAGGTCATCGAGCTCCACGCCAACAGCTGGAACCCTCTGACACCCCCCATCACGCAGTACTACAACAGAACCATCCAGAAACTGACAGCCTGACAGCCGGGGGGCCTGGCGGGCGGCCGCAGGCAGCTGCGGCCCTGGTGCGCAGAGCCAGATGGACAGGCAGGAGGACGGGGTGGCCCTGGAGGAGGAAATGGGGAAGAAGGCAGGCAGAGCCGGAGGCCGGTCTGGAGCCAGGCGGGGAAGGGATCGAATCCCTAGGAGCACCCCCCACGCAGCACCCCCGCCCCAGCACGCGGCAGCTTCCCGCATGTTTCTTTTTCACGGTGGCCCAGCCGCTGCCCCTCCTCACTCCTGCTCCTCCTGCTCCCTCCCATCAAACGAGTCCCCGCAGGGCTTTTTGTGCAAGGGGTTTCATCTTTGTGACTCCTCCTCTGAGGCCAGGCAGCCTGGCACACCAGGGTACCGCCGGGGTCAGAATGGACCTCAGAAGGCTGAAAAAGTGGGTCGGAGACGAGCTTGCATTGTTCCCGCATGCTGTCAGCCACAGTCGCCAACTGGCAGCAGGCGACATGTAGCAGATGTCCGGGAGGACAAAGGCAGACACGGTCCCCACCAGCCGCCCGTAATTGACGGCCTTTGTCCACGCGGTTGAGCTGGGGGACAGAGGCATCCGTTCTCTTCCAACCTTCACGCTCCACCACCCCCCAGCTTCCAAGTCCTTCTCCTGGACCCCCAAGCTGCAGGCCCAGGCTGGGAGCAGGCGGGGGAGCCGGAGTTTGTAGTTCTACTTGCACTCTTTTGTTTTATTGTGTTTTATTTTTCAAAAGTCAGCTGCTTTGAAGTCTCCTCTCTCAATGAAAGAGCCGGCGATGCGATCACACGGGCAGCATCGAGGACCCCCTGATTAGTGTGAGATCAAACCCGCCCCCCCTGGAAGGATTCTAGGCACAGACAGCTTGCCAGTAGCCAATTAGGGTAATTGGAAACTTCTGCCCCGGTGGGGGTCTCCCTGGAACTTGTGCCCCTGGCTTCCAGCACCTCCCTTCTCGTATTCTTGCTGTGCTCTCTCAAAGGGCTGATACCACCACGCTGGGAGTGCATTCAGCCCCATCCTGGCCCCAGGCCTTGTGGTGAACCAGGCACAGAACAGGCTGGCAAACTGAAACCAAACACTAGGGGATGGCTCCTGCTCCACACACAGGTCTTGCCCCAAGCTCTGAGTGGGGGAGGTGGGGGTATGGGCTGCCTGACTCCCCAGGACTTGGAGTTTAGCTGAATGGGCTGTATCGCTGCCCTGACCTCATCACAGGCGAGATCCAGGAGCCCAGCCCTCCCGCAGCCCAGGTCCAGGTGCTCCAGGAGGGCCCTGGGCACTGAGGCCCAGGGCTGTTGGGAAAGGGAGTGTCTGAGTCATGAGCAGGACAGTCAGGTGACCAGGCAGGGATGCCAGACAGCCTTCCAGACGGGGAACCAGGCTGAAGCTTCCTGGAGGAGTCAGGGCCTGGGAGCAGCCCCTTCTCTGTTGGAGGAAGCTGGGCGTCAGACTCTCGGAGGTTGTCCCTGGCCTCCGCACAGCCCCCCTTCCGGGTCTGGAGCCCACACTTTGATGAGCCCCCAGAAAATGACCTCAGCCCTGCAGCTTCCTCATTGACTCCTTCACTGTGGCCGGTCACTCCCCGGGTCCCTGGAGGCAGGCTGGCCAGGAGGTGAGGGCGGGGGGAGGCTGCCCCTTGTTGACCCTGAGTCTGGGACAGCAGGCAAGGGGGGATGGGCAGCTGGTGCCCTGGTACTCCTGGTACCCCACCAGCTACAGCCTGCCTGCCAGTGCCCGGGGCACAGGCTTACCTGGAACAGGTCGGTTGCCCCAAGCCACCCGTGGCCCCAGAAGCCTTCTTCCCAAGCTTTGCCTCACTGCCTTTCCTCAGCTTGCACCTTTAGCCCGGCCCGGGGCCCAGGGCCACCAGAGGCCCGCGGGAGGCCTTGAGGGAAGAGCTGGGCTGGTGGCAGGAGGCACAGAGGACACTGAGGAGCCGGACCACCCTTGCCAGGCCAGCAGCTGCTCCCTGACAGTCCTCAGAGACACCTGTGCCGAAATGGGTCTTGCTTCCTTCAAGTGTGTATGTGTGTGTGCGTGCGAATGTGTGTGTGGGGGGTGCATCTGCTGAGAACAAAACAGGGCCCCGGAGGAAGGGAGAGGCCTAGGAGTGGGGGCACAAGTTGAGGCAGGAGAATGAGGTCTCCCACCTCCACCCCCTTTCAGAGACCACGCTTCATGCAGGGCCCCCAGACACCGTGCCCTGCAAAGCCGACACAGGTGGCAGCATGGGCACCGAGGGCCTCATGCCCCTCCCTCCTAGCGGCCCTCCGTGGTGGTCTTGCCCCAAGGCCCACCCCTCCTGACCATCAGGATCAGTGTGAAGAAGTGAGATATAAATATGTATACATATATAAATATATTTTTAATTACGTGTCGTGTCGCAGTGGCTTCAGACATATGGTTTGCCTAGTTTATTCCATTGCTTGAAAGCACTTCCTGGCCAATCTGAAAAACAGTTTAAGCTGGTTTTCTAAATGCAGGTTGCTGCTACTTTTTCAGACATGGAAGGAAAACGTTTAAAAAGGAATAGTGTTTTTTAAGGAAATAGCAGTAAAGCCTAAAATCTGAGACTGAAACAGCTTTCCACGGGAGACGACTCAGACAGGAACTGGGGGACAGAGTGGGCACCCCACAGACCCCTCCCCAGGCTGCTGAGTGAGGAAGGCCATACATATCCAAGTTGACCTCTGAATGTATTTGATGGGGGCAAAACTGGATATTGCATTTCTAAGGCTCGCGTTGTTTTCCCTCCTGGCCGCGGCTTTCTGGCCCCGAACAGGCCGAGTCCGGCCCTCTGATGTTGATTCTGTCTCGTCTCCCGCTGCCAGTCAAGACGAGGTAGTCATTGTTTCCCTCGGGCAGCCTGCTTGCCACAGTCTCGCTCCCCTAGGCCTTGTGGCTTTGCCTGTGCTCTGGGACCACAGCCCCGAGAAGGCTCCTACCCTCCCCTAGACAAGGTGGGAGTCCCACCGTCCTCCGTGAGGAGTGCACCTCCAAGCCCAGTTCCGTCTGTCTGTCCTTCCTCAACCAGTCTGTAAACCTTTAAGGTTCGGGGTTCGTCCTGTCCATCCATGTAAATGTAAATGTTTGCCGAATTGGTATTTATTCTAATTTTTATTTTATTTTATTTTCTCGGGGGGGATGGGGAGGGGGGTGTGGGAACTGTACCGTGGATCACGCCCTGGGCAGCTGCAGGGGGCGGGCCCAGACCGCAGGCCGGGTGAGGAGCAGCCCCTGGGGGCCGTGCCGACGCCAAGGCCCAGTCTTATCTGGCATCAGAACCCAGCCAGTGTTCCTCGGATGACGGACTCTCGGGGCTGCCCGCGAGCCCTGTCTCAGCTGCCGGGCGCCCTGTTGGGAAACCTCTGGCTGGGCCTGTGAGGACGCAGATCTGAGAGAGGACAACTGTCCTCTGCTGGGGACACTGGCACAGAAGGGCTGCCGGCCTCGCCTGAGCCAGCTGGGAGCCCGGCGGCGGGACCTCCCTCCCTGGGGCAGGGGCCGGGGCTTCCCGCCAAAGCTGCAGCGGAATCTGCTCACGCAACCACCTCCCCTCCCTCGGTATGTTCTGCTTTCCAGCTGAACCCAAACTACAAGTGGGTTTAAAAAATAAACACCACCAAAAACAAAAATGCCCTGAATTTGTGTTCTTTGTGAGTTCGGCGAAGGAAATCTTTCCCAAAGGCTCTTGTGCCTCAGCTGGTCTTGGCCTCTCCCCAGGATGAGCCAACGAGAAGATTCCCCACAGCTTGGCTGCCTTGGGGAGCAAGGTGTGGGGCCTGCAGAAGATTGGAGGGGTGACCTAGGAGAACATACATGGAGACTCCTGTCCCCCCAAGTCTGGGAACTGTGGCCTGTCCGAGGTGGAAGGATGAAGCCAGTGCTGCAGAAAATGCTTTTACACTGAAAACCTGTTCTGCTACCTGTCTAACCAGCCCACCCCAACACCTACCCCTTCCAGGGAATGTCACTGTGTGTTTGGCAGTGACTCATTTTAAGAAGACTAAGACTAGGGACTAGCAGCTTCTAAAGTCAGCAGCAAGCCCTGGTGGGTCTGGCTCAGTGGTTAGAGTGTCGGCCCACAGACCAGAGAATCCCGGGTTCGGTTCCTGCTAAGGGCACATACCTTGTTTGCAGTTTGTCCCTGGCCCTGGTTGGGGTCGTGTGGGTGGCAGCCAGTCAATGTGTCTCTCACATCGATGTTTCTCTCTCTTCCTCCCTCTCTCCCACTTTGTCTGAAGATAAATGCAAATAATAAATAAAAGTCAGCAGCAAGTGACTGTCCAGTAGGTCAAATCAGTCTTTCATCAAAGGGGGCCCAAAGGGGCCCAGTGACTTATTTTCCTGTGATGACACATTCCAGAAATCCCTCATGGTAAGACATAGGAGACACTACCTCCTGGTAACAAATCCCCCTTTGGGGTTCTTTCTGGCTAGAATGTGCCAGGCTTTCACCTTGGGGTGCTGACCAGAGCATCCACCCCCTTTATACTTCCCTGGCCTGGCCAAGGTGGCAGCCAGGTCAGGCCAGGAGCTGGCGAAGGCATATTGAGATGGGTCGCTGCCCCATTACTGAGTCACATGACACTGAGCAGAGCCCCCCAGAATGCACAGGTTGGGCCCTGGCTGCTGTGGCTCTGTTGGGCAGTGTCCCGTGCACGGAAGAGGTGCTGGTTCAATTCTCACCCAGGTTGTGGGCTTGGTCCTCTGCGGGTGTGCAGAAGGCAGCCAACTGATGTTCACTCTCACATTGATGTTTCTCCTCCCTTTCTCTCTAAAAACATCAATTAAAAAAAAGAATACACAGGTTGGTAGAGGGAGATAACATTTTAATTAAACATTTGAGATACTTGCCAAGACAGAGCGTTTTACAAAATGCAAAGGAAGAGGAGCGGAAAGCAGGGGTCAAAGTGAAAGGCGTTTGGAGGTAAGCGAGGGAGTGGGAGAGGGAAAAGTTCACCAAACAGTGTTCACCAAAAGAGAGAGATTAGATTTTTCTCTCTCTTTGGTTTAGTCCTGCTTCCAGAAGGTTCTAAATTACTGAAAACTATGAAATATATCATCCAAATAATACATGTTTCGAGCCTGTATTTCACCACCGCCTCTGCTGATAGGCGTCATCTGCCCTGAGGAGGGGTCCGATGTGCCCCGGGGTCCATAGGACGGAAGGGAAGTGTGTGTTGAACGAATAAGCTAGATGTATACACATGCATGTGCACGCACAGCTTGTAAGAGCCTTTTAGGTCCCAAAGCAAATACTGCAGAAAAGGGGATTGGGAACGGGAAAGAGAAAGGAGCTTGAGGCTGAATATTAAGTCTCCTTCCCAGAGTTCCCCAGGGACCTGGGGGCCTTCCGTGCACTGTCTGGGTCAGCGTAGGCAGATGAGTATCTTTGATTCCCATTTTACAAATGAGAAAACAGACATGACTGACCCAGAGCCAAAGGCCAGTCGGTGGAAGAGTCGGGCCAGACAGCCCCGTGCCCCTTCCCCTAGCCCGGAAGGTGAGCGTGTCCTCAGCCTCTCCCCTCTGACTGCTGCCGACGGGCCCCAGGGAGCCGGGCCGTCTCGCCAACCAGACAGAAGGAGCAGCCAGCCGCCCGCTGAGACTCCCTGGGCTGACTGCATGGTGTTCCCCTGGAGTCACTGAAAGCAGGAGCATGATGAAATGCCCCATCGAGGGATCTCAGTGGGGCGAGGAGGAGGAGCGATGTCGCCTCCTTTGATGCCATTATATAAAAGGATCCGTGGCCATAGGTTCCACGGCCCCACTGGGTTTCCTCCAGGCCAGTGACTCTCAAGGTGGGTGGGAGGGGAGGGAGACCCTCCTAGGGGACATATCAAAGGTGCCATCAAAATCCAAGTTGCCTGGGAACTTTTTCAAATGACTTGCCTAAGAAGACACATAGGCACCAACATTTTCAGAATTCTGGCCTTAGGGCCCCTCTTCCTGGTGGGTACACGGGTGCCCTCTGTGGGGTTCCAGAGAAGATGGTGGAGGCTGCCACCCAGCACTCCAAGAACAGCCCTGGCGAGCTGTTCCAGTGACGGTGACGCAGACCTGATGTTTGAAACAGCGCGTCGCTGTGTCGCTGTGTCGCGCTCCTGTATTTGGGATGTCGGATCCGCGGCGCTGCACAGTGGGGCGGGGCTCCAGCAGTTCGTCTGGTGGGGGACAAACTCCAGCAGTGTTATGACTTTCATGACCCTGGGCATTTGTGCCTAAGCCCCTTGTCCTTAGAGTAATTCAAAAATCGGATTGAACTACTATGTTGATATAAAGACAAATATATTAATATTAATTATTAAAACACTTTTAAAAAAATATTTTTTCTTTATTGATTTTTTAGATAGAGGAAGAGAGAGGTAGAGAGAGATCGAAACATTGATTGGCCGCCTCCTGCATGCCCCCCACTGGGGATTGGGCCCACAACCTGGGCTTGTGCCCTGACCAGGAATGGAACCAGTGACCTCTTGGTGCATGGGTTGACGCTCAACCACTGAGCCACACTGGCCGGGCTTAAAACACTTCTTAAACGTAGAAGTTAATTTCTTTTTTTGTATTTGTGTTCATCCTCACCAGAGGATATTTTTTCCCGTTGATTTTTTAGAGAAAGTGGAATGGAGGGAGGGAGGGGGAGAGAGAGAGGGGGAGAGAGACACATCGTTTGGATGCCTTCCTGATGATCCTGACCAGAGCCGGATTGAACCTGCAACCTTGGTACATGCCCTTGACCAGGAATCAACCCATGACCCTTCGGTGCACAGGGCCGACGCCTTAACCACTTAACCACACCGGCTAGGGCTAGAAGTTCATTTCTTGATTCCGATTTTAAAAGAGGCGAAAGCATTTTGTGGGCCCCTAAAAGTGTTATGTGCCCTAGGTGCTAGGCCTGGTGAGCACGATGGCCCTGCACGGACATTGTCCTGAGCAAGGATGAAAAGGATTTTACCCTATCCTGCTGCCCACCTGATCTCGGGGTGCCCCAGGGCAGAGGCGATAGGTGGGGGTGGTCACAGGGGCAGCCTTGCCGTCTTCCAAGGCAGTAGCTGGCTCAGTCTGGAAACAAATGCAGTAGCTGCCTCTGCCCGACTGGCTGCAGGCCAGACAGCCGGGAGCCAGGTGAACAGCTGTGTTTGCCTGGCCAAGGACACTGCGGCCGGAGGGCCCGAGCCACACAGCACGGCCTCCTCTCCACCGCCCTGGCACACACAGTCCCTGCCTCGTCTTACCAGAGCCCTGGGGAGAAGTAAATACAATTCTTCACCCAGTTTAGGTCTGGGGAAACTGAGGGTTAGAGAGCCCTCCCATCTGCTTGAATGGCGCTCTACAGTTTTCAAATATATCACCTTGTTTGACCTTCACAGCAGCCCTGCTGGGTGACAGACATTTTTTACTCCATTTCAAAGGCAGAGGGAACGGGCTTCGAGACGCTGTGACGGATCCACGTCACGTGGCCAGTAGGCACGAAGGCCAGGCCTGGCGCTGCTGCCTCCTCAGGCCTGGCGGGTGGGTGTGGGGACTAGTCTGGGGATCCAGGCTCCCGGCCTCCAGTTCCCATGGCCACCTCTGAGCCTGAGTCTCCCTACCCCACTGTGTCCCCAACTCTGATCAGCCCAGTGGCTCCCAGGGACACACAGGGGCTCGGGTCAGGGCTCTTGGTCCCCCTGGTGACCCTGAAGAACATACAGGCCACGGCCCTCACTGGCACACAAGCGGATGGGAGAGAGGCTCACAGCCCAGGACCTAACTCGGGCCTTTCCTGTTTGACCAGGGTCGGAAGAGGGCTCTGCCGTGGGCTCAGCTCAGAGAAAAAGGAGAAACACTGGCCTGAGGAGGAGGCAGTAACTCGAGAAGCACATCCCCAAGGGAGAAAGGGAGCCCAGGGCCTGTTGTTAACCATCCCGTGTAACTCTGTGTAACGAGCGAGCTTGCAGGCTCAGGGACCCCCCCACACACACACACATGTTCCTGGTCTTGTGCACAGGGCTGCAGACGGGTGGGGTTTGGCTGATCTTGGCTGGCTGGCGGGGGTCCCAAGCCCAGTCTCTGGACCATGAACAACAGCTGAAGATACAGACGTGTAC